TACAAATTGTAATTAGCAAACTATAGTTATAGAGCATAATCAAATTATTTTGAGTGGCTATTTGCGAAAATTCCCCTAAAACTCAATAATTATACGCTCCAATCGGATGAACTCCCGGAAATTGAGTCATAAATATGTTTGTTATCCTTTTTAAACTTGATATATATCCACGTAATTAATTTAACTCATAAAAATATACTCCTTCGAATTCATATTTTCTTCTTTTCTCTTTCAATTCCAAATATAATACTTTCAATCCCATAAAAATGCACCTAAAATTCGACCCATACTCAAAGCTCCCAAAAGGTAAGGCGTCGAAGGAAAAAGGTCAGTTATGGCTAATCAGAAGGGATACAAGTGTTATGGTTCTAAAACACTTTGGACCGATAACTCACCTCAGAGAAAATTGGGCAAAGAAAAAAAGGCTGAGGTCGCGACTTAGGATCAAGTGTGACATAAGGTTTCAGTTGCGCCTGTTGAGGTCGGTGCATGAGACATGCGCATCTACATAGGCATATAAGTTTACAGACACTCATATTGCTATACAAAACATAGATCAAAAAGTCAACTAAAAATCAACGCCAGTCCTCGAAGCTAATATTGAAGTTTTATCACGAAATAAGGTAATCCAAGTCCATAAGTCCCAAATCTAAAAAAATATTTAATTTCATCTACGATTTGATAGTTAAATCTACATTTTTCATTTTCATAACTTCTATGGTTAAACCGTCCCTTTCTTCAATAAATTCACGAGTAAAAATGAAAACTAACTAATGTTAACATGGGAAAAGTACCAAAAATTGGATTTTTTTACCCGCAAAATTTGTCCACTTTTTGGGCTCTAAAACTCATAATATGTTGAAAATATCCAAAAATATCTTCAATAAAGAGTTGTAAATTTCTCATATGACTTTAGAATTCAACGATATTTGTTGTTATGATTCTGAAATCACGGTACATACCTATTAATTCAATCAAAACACATTTTAGAGGTCATTCTTAAATTAATATTGTTTATGTTCAAAACATTATTAAAATATTAAATACGAGCGTAACAATACAAATAAAATTTATTTGAAAGTCATCGTGACCTAAACATGAAGTCAAAATGTTGACCATGGTCAACTCTCATTTTTCAATTCAACTAGAAATCAACTTCAACATCCAAATCCATCCCAAGTCAATCAAAGCTCATGTAAATTATTCAATTAAGTCATAAATTACTCTTCAATTCTAGTGGAACCATCAAACCTCAATTCGAGTTTGTTTATTTAATTTGTTGACTTTGGTCAAATTTCAAATTTCAAAATTTCCAATTCTTTTTTCTTAACATAACCAAAAATATTTTTGTGATTTCAATAGACATGTTGGCCTTTTTCCACCGCCCCTTAAAAAAGACTAATTTCTTTATATATATATATATGCACTGCCACTGGCTCTAATTTAAGATCTCCATGTTGTCACCTTTCATTTCAGGTGTATGTATGTAGGCACAAATCCCCATAACCTCATGTATATCCCTCTTCACCCCCCGCGCCACCCTAGGGGCGGAACTAGTATAGAGTCTGGGAATTTAATAGAACTCAGTAATTTAAATTTAAATTTTATATTCGGCTTACACGTTTGGAGGTTGTTGCCTATTGTAGTGTATTGATAATTTTGTAATGTTTGTTTTGATTGTTAATTAAATTTTATTGTATCATATAGTTTAAATTCATTGTTAGGTAATGACGAAAGACTTATTTTATGTAATGACCGATTTAGTGTGGTCGCATCGTTACCTTAATGTTTTCATCATGAAATAAGACTCAAGTATCCCCTAAACTATGATCGAAATTCCAAAGACACATCTTAACTAAATTAAGGTCATATTATCCCCGAACTCATACTCTGAATAATTCTATACACCTTTTGGCTTACACATCCGTGACTCCACGTAGTTGAGGCACATAGGAGATGTTTGGATGCCACATCAAAAAGGTGTACAAAATTACAAAAAAATGAATACAGGGACGTAATAGAACCTTAGTTTAGTTAAGATGTGTCTCTGAGATTTCGTTCATAGTCTAGCGATACTTGTGCCTTATCCTTTTAATAATTTATTATTTATCCTACCTTTTCATACTAACTCTACTTTGTACCCTACTTTTCTGGTAGGTTTATCATTAAAATTATGAATGTATGACATTATATAACGACGGAGAACGATATAATCTATACAAACATTGTGTTTATTACAACAACATAGTTCGATATAATACAATATGATACATTATGAAAAATACGTAACAACCATCCAAATGTTACTTATAGAAAATTCATTAAATATTAATGAATTATTTAGTCTAAAACCCGATAACATAAAAAGCAAAAAATTCAAATCACAAACTTAAAATTCTAACTCCGCCCCTCCGTGGAATACTCATACACAAGGTTCCAAGTTGTTGCAACGTTTTTCTCACACTCTCATTCTGCATATTTTGTTTTGATTCGGAATTATTTTCTGATAGTATTCCTCCCTTCAAAAACCACTTTTATTAGTACCTTTATTGCATATATTCAGTGTCTTTTTCTCACCATATTTCTTCTTCAATTCCTTTAATTATTTCCTATTTCTAGTTATTTTCTTCATATTAATTCTCATCCTCACAGAAATTGCTCTTTAATTTCACCCATGAAGGTTTGATTCTTTATTCCTTTTTATTTATTTTTTTCGAAAAATTTCATCGATACTCTTATTCTTATTTAGTATTAGATCACCTCTCACACTCAACTTTTCAATCTTAAGATTGTGAGTTTGAGTCAGCAGCAAAAAACTGAGAGCAATCTATGAACTTTCTTTTTTTCTCTTCATTTTTTTGGAATATAATTTTTATGGGTATGTTAATTAATATATCTTTTGTATTGAACTGATCTATACATGAATTAATTTTCTTAATTAAAAATTTGTAAACTAATGGGTACTGATTTTCATTTTTACTTTTTTTTTTTATATAATTTGTTTTCTCTTTGTTTGATATGTTAAATTATTAAATTATACAGAAACTTATTCTGATCAAACTGGATTTACAAGATTCCAAGGAAAAGAGAAAGGCCTTGAAGACAGTTTCCGCTCTATCAGGTATCAATATCGAAATTAATATTAAGATTAGTTTATTTCATATAATTACGAAATAACTTATTTCGATTCAGTTATCACAAGATTATAGTGTTATTTTATGTTCATAATAATTTTTGAGTAACTATCGAAATAATTTATCGATCTGCGTATATTTTATGAGAAATACATTGTATAGATTATTATTGTTATTATGGTTCATACTCCAATTGTGTGTTGCCCTCTATCCAAATATATACTTATTGATTTTGTGTGTTTTGATTTAATTATTCCATTCATTTCCATTTACATGGTTTTTTTTGTCAGTTTTTTTGTTTAAATTGAAAATAATTTCATTGAAACTTTTATTTGTGCTTACAAAATTTTATATTCATAAAAATGTTATGCCGGATTTAATATTTCATGCTTTTGATTTTTTTGTAATCATATAATATTATAATATATTTAAGATCACAATTTCAAAACTTTGTTTTTAAAAAAGAAATTATGTGCCTATTAAATAGGTTTACATCAATTGAAGAAAATATTATTTTATGCAATTTCAATTTATGTGAAAAAAGACATTTTTATATATTTAATAATAAAATGATTTATAATTCCCATATATATTTTTATGATTTGATTTAGATCAAAATAATAATAATAATAATAATATATTATTGTGAGTTTACAAGCAGGATCTGAGGTATACAAACCTTACTCTTATCCTGTGTATAATAAAAAAATTATTACTAATATCCCCTCGACTCAAGAATTTATTTATTTTTTTTAAAAAAATATTTCTTTGTTGAGAGGGAATAATTATAATTAGGTGAATGGAGATGAGGTTTCTTGTATTAGTGGTAATTTGGTTTCTAAGTTTGCACTAATTTGGAGGAAGAAAAAAGTACAGTAAAAAATTTTCTAAGTTGATTCCAGCATGGCGCCACGTCAAGTGGGTCCACCATCATATGACCTTGTTCCCCACTAACAGATTTTAGGCAGTAGGTACTAGGTACTATCACTTTGCCTAATTATATAAAAGAGATCCATATCGTTGTTTAGTAGAATGTATAAAAATAATGTCTTGAACAAAAGTGATCCAATTCATATGGATTTTTCGCCAGATAGGCTTAGAGTCTATCTGAATTGACTTAAAAAAAATAGCTTTTAAGTTAAAAAAATAAAAAGTAAGGGAAAACCTATTTTTGATTTTATAAACCTTTTTAAAGTCATTTAAAACTTATTTTAAGTAATTTTTATCTTTGTCAAACACTTTCAAAAATTAAAAATGACTTAAAAGTAGATTTAATCGATTTTTAAGTCAATCCAAACAGGCTCTTACTTAAGTAAATCGCTGACATTGTTGAAAGTTTTTTTCTTTGAGACATGTAGTAAAAACTTTTGATTAGGGGTTAAAGAATTACAATTATATCCCTTGGCAGTGAAATGAATATTTTGAACAATTGAGTTAAAATAATATTGAAATGTCATAAGAACACTATTAATTATATATATTATGTCTTAATACGTTTCATTACGTATGAATCTACTTATTTATGAATCGAACAGGTAAATATACTTTTCTTTTGGATGACAATGAGATTAAGAGTCATGACATTTTGCTTTTCTGATATCATATCGAATTATGTGATTTTTTAAAATCTAAACACTTAATTGAAAGAGAAAAATAAATAATTGTCTTTTATGTTTACATTGTTTACTAGTACTATATAGTAGATTTGGTTTTGGGAGGTTAATTAGGTGCATGAATTGAAGCAAATTTCTTGCTACGGATGTATGTATATCCACGTGCTTTTGGTAGGAATGGTCTAAGAAGCCTCAAAAGCACTTTGTTGTTCCATAAGATTAACCAAATGCATTGTATGGTGAAATTTTATAGGAATCGATGAGATTTCAATGGATATGAAATGTAAGAAGTTAACCGTCATTGGTACGGTTGATCCAGTGAGTGTAGTGAGTAGACTACGCAAATTTTGGTGGACAGAAATACTCATAGTAGGACCAGCTAAAGCTCCCGTGCAAGAGAAGAAAGAAGAACCTAAGAAGGAAGAAACCAAGAAAGAGGAGCCACCTAAAGAAGAGCCACCCAAAGAAGAAACAAAGAAAGAGGAACCACCCAAGGAGGGAGCAAAGAAAGAGGAACCACCCAAGGAGGAAACTAAAAAAGAAGAGCCTAAAAAGGAAGAAGAAGACGACGATGACGATGACTATGACGATGACTATGATGATGATGATGAAGAAGAAATAGAAGGACCCAAAAAGGAAGAAGTGAAGAAAGCACAACTACAACCACAATCACAATTACGTCATCCTCAGCCACAATCACTACCTTATCCACAAGCGGCTTATAGGCCATATTATCCTCCTCCTATGCACACATATTACCAAGTTCACCATAGCATAGAAGAGAATCCTAATGCATGCACTATCTGTTAAACTAGCTTGGGAATGTAATCTGAATCGCTATTGGTACAATGTTAATGACCATAACGGGCTAATTAATCAGGGGTAATAGAAAGAAAAAACAAAAAGTCACATATATATAATTAAGTGTTGTTCGATCTAGCCTTTAGGATCTCTCTTGAACAACAATCGATTAGTTCTTTTGTGTTGATGTTGAGACTGCTGCTTTGACTGTCTCATTTTAGTTGGCTAGCATTATTATTGGATAAGAGAGAATATAAGCGTAATTTTGTGAATAGAAGACGATTAATTAATTATGCCATGCATATTCTAATTTTCTTAATCAAATTGTGTACATAATTTTGAATAAGAATTTCAGAGTTAATAACTTTGATGGTAACTCAACTATCAATTCTTTTCACATAAAGTCTCTCAACTTTCTTATAATTTTTGGATAATAATTAAAATTTTATGTCAGCAAATTTTAATGAAAAAAATAATTAAATAGATTGAGTGACTTTCTATGCAAAGAAGTCATAGTTGAGTGACTTTTGAGTTAAAAATGAAAATTGGGTGATTTTCTATGAAAAAATTGATAGTTGAGTGACCATCAAAGTTATTAACTCAAGAATTTCAACTGCTGCTTTGTGCCTTTGGATCTACAATTGATACTTGATACTGTAGGTTTATGTGCTGTAACATTTTACTGATAAATCATTAATGGCAGGTTATCAATTAAATTAAACCATGCTATACACTTATATGTAAACGGACTTTTAACACTTCAGGTCATATAAATGATAATTATATATAGCGGTTCATAGTAAAATGAAATTAGTAATTCGGAAAATAAGTAGGTCACCTAACTACTACAATTATATATGTGAATTATATTTTACTCCATTCCAATTTATGAAATTCCTAAGCTAGAGTCTCAATCAAGATAAATACCTTATCAACTTTATTAAGAAGATTATAGAATAGTTTTTTGTTTTAATTATTTTTTTATATTTCTGTTCTTATCTTTTAATTACGTAATTAATATGTAATGATTTTATTATATAATTATGCCTTCTCTAGCATAATTTCATTTCCTTGATAGCATATCTTCAAGATTTGCATCAACTACCTTATTTGGGTCCTCCAAACAAGATAGTTTGAGGATTTCAATATGCGCATATAACTATAAATTGATGGAGATATCTTGGTGAAAAGGAGAAAATAGAGGAAGATAAACTAATCAAACAAAAGTTAATTTATACTATTAATTAATAAGATTATAAAATAATATTGAGGACAAAAATATAACTCTTTATATTCTCTTCTTATCTCTCTATGTGAAGCAATTCCTTTATTATATAGCTATGTCTTCTTTATTTTGATTGAACTCTACAATCTTATATGTTAGAGTTTTGTCCTGATTTTATTTCCTTATTTGAAGTTTATATTTTTCCTTAAAGAAAAGTCAAAGTATATATTACCATATATGCTTGAACTTTTTCTTAAAGGAAAAAATAATTCTCTTCCATATTTGGTTTATTCTTTCCTTAGAGGGAATGTTTGAAACTCTATAAATTGAAGACCGCTCTTCTCATAGCAAAATACAATAGAATCCACAATGTAGTCGTTTAGAGAATTTTGTTTATGGAGAGATTTTCTCTCTACATATTTGATGTTTTTTATTAGTTTTTAATTATGTAGGTCAATTGGTCATATCAAATAATAATATTATGTCTTTTAATATAGTTTTATGTGTCGTCTAATTTATCGTCTTATGATTTGCAATTGTAAGCTTCCGCATTACGCCCTAATCACTTTCGAACCCAGCATCTTAATCTTAATAATATAACTAATCATAAATTATGTCAATATTTAAAGACTAATCCAAAGCTAATTAGGCTCCACACTACACATTTTGTCTCTCACTTTACTTATTAATCATATTAGTAGATTCTCCTTCTTTCCTTTTTTATGTACCTTAATCTTATGTAAGGGGAGAGCCTCCAGTTTTCATATGTAATAAGAGTCTTCCTACTACCATAGGTATAATATATGGTAGATTAGTTGGATGGATTTAATTAAAGCAAGTAGAAATCTAAGTTTTTAATTGACTTGATAGTGTAAAACCTTTTCACTCTATTAATGCATATATGCTAAAGTTTAAACTTTTTTCCTATTCATACATAGAGTTCACAAGATCTCATGTGCTTTATGGGGTAAAAACTTAATTATTCGGTGTTCACGTCAAATCAATTTAGTTATTATGATTAGGTAAATTAAGAAAATAAAAATATTTATTTGTTAATAATGATTAAGTGATAGTTATATATGTATATTTGAATACATATATTTATTAATTTGATATAAATATGTAGCATGAAAAAGTATTTATTTGATTATTGGTTAGGTGTTTTTGTTCCTGTAGTTTTCCCATTTCTCTAAGATCATGGTAAAAAAATGATAGTTCGGTACACTAAAACTTTCACTATGTGCAGAGTTCAGGAAAGGGTCTGATCATAAAGGCCTATTGTACACAATCTTATTGTGTCAAAATTTATTTTCAAGACAAGTTTTGCAAAAGTAATTCATGTATCTTACTTGATTGATTGGACAAAAAATGTTCTAGAGCTTTATTTCACGTGAAACTCCATTTATGTCTTGTTTTATTGGACTTTAATCTTCAAACATGCTTATGATAAAATTGCCTCATCAATTTGGCAATATTGGCACACTAGGTCCACTCTTTCTTGTCGGAAGTTTTAAGGTTAAAATACTTGTCATTTTCTTATTAATTAATATGACATTTTTGCTTATCCATAGGTAATTTAAATAATTTTACAAACAAAATAAAATTAGATTAACTTAATATTTTGAATTTAAATAATTTAAAAATTAAAACAAAAGTATTTATAAATTACAACTCTTTCTTGTGTCAATATGATGAAAAAGCATTTTAAATTATTGGTTAAAATTTACATAATTTGATGTTTAAGAGCGAAAAAATGTTATATAAATTTAACAAAAGTAGTACTATTCTTTCTATTCAATTTATGTGACACTTTTGAATTTTGAAATTTAAACAAATCTTTTTTAATAGTAATTTTTTTATGTATTTTTTTAAAATCTTGAATTATCAATGGTACAAATTGATAGGAAAAAAAATAGTATTTATATTGCAAATTCCACATCAACAGATTCCTTCACCTTGTTGTAAAACAAACTGTGAGAAAAGAGCAAAGAGATGTCTGACATCATAAATTTACATTTGCTTTACTCCTTTCGTTCAATTTTTTTTACTTGTTCGGAATTTCAAAAATAAATTTTACTTTTATTTATCATTTTTAATATATCAAAAAAATAGAATTATTTTTTCCTATTTTATCTTAAATATTAGTTACTTATTATCCAAATCATTTCTCAAATTCTAACACTATATATCAATTAATATGAATATTGTAATATAATGTTCATATTAATTATTATTTTTTTAAAAACTTGTAAAATTTAAAATAGATAGATAAAATTTACACAAGTTTAATTTCCCAAGTGTGACAATACATGAGTGCTGAACTTATAATTGCAGTTTTGCTTTATATCAATTGGTTGACATCATAATGTTGAAAGAAATCTTGTGCTTTTAAAGTTCACTGAACCAATATAATCTCTTATTCTTACTTGAGCAACATTGCAAAGTAAAACTTGTCAGTTGATGTCTAAATCCATATTTATCATACATTCCACTTTAGCTGTTACTATATACTCCCTCCGTCCCTTTTTATATGTCATTCATTTTTATAAATAGCTAGACCATAGTACTTGTCGTTTTATAAAATTTATGCATAAATTACCATATTTTGCCTATTATACCCTTGATAGAGTAGTTAATTAATCTTGAAAATGTATTCATCATTTATTATAAAGTTTTATAAAATTTATGCATAAATTACCATATTTTGCCTATTATACCCTTGATAGAGTAGTTAATTAATCTTGAAAATGTATTCATCATTTATTATAAAGTTGACTTAAGAAAACATTAAATAAGGGTGGAAGGATAAAGTTACACCATTTCTTAATGCAAGTGCAAAGTAAAAAAGTGACATATAAAATGGGACGGAGGGAGTAACAACAATACATATTCAGTATAATTACATAAAATAAAATTTAGGAAAGATAAAATGTATGCATATCTTATCACAAGAGACTGTTTTTAATAGATCCTTCGATCAACGAAAAAGCATATCAAAGCTATATAGAGAAAGACTTAATGGAAATGGAGAAAGTCCTCACAAAATACTATAGACATTAGACAACCTGTCAAATTAATCATCCTAAACAATAGTCATAACAAGAAAAAAAAATAATGAAAGTGTAAAAAATCCATAAATAATAACAAACTCTAAGGACAAGAAACTATAATAGTAATTAGTATACAACAATGCTCAACTATTTAATTAACCTCCTATTCTAATTTGTGTCCTCCATAACCTCTTATTTAGCTAGCGTTTGGCCATAGATTTTCAAATATTTTTGGCAAATATTATTTGTGTTAAAATTTGGGTGAAATTTCACCATGTGTTTGGCCATAGTATTTGGGAAACATATTTCACTTTTTTAGGAAATATGATTTATACTCGTAAGTTTAAAAACTATCAAAACTAACCGTAAGTTTGTATTACAAGTCAATTAGATCTTCGTTGCAACAAATAACAAGTAGTGTCCATGAAACTAGAGCAATATGGTAGTTCAAAGTGAGTGCTACAAGCATTCCATACATCGTGAAATAGACAAATCATATGACTTTAATTTGTTATCCTGAGTCGATTGTTCATCATTTTCATCAATAATCATATCACCACTTTCATATTTACTGAATTATTCATCACTACTTTGGTGTTTACATAAAAAA